AAAAAAAAAAAAAAAAAAAAAAAAAAAAAGCACCTGATGGTACTAGACTTGCCTTGTAAATTTCTGACAGGCATTTCACTGCTGCAGACTACCGTTCCTGGTATTCTACCCAGGGAGAGACAGAAGGAGAACTGCCAGGACATGACTGTATAATCCCTTCCTAATCCCTTGAGTCTCATAAGTCCTTTAACTCTTCAAATATTGAACTATAAGAACTTGGTTTACAGAAACATTATGGTCATAGGAGGCCCAGGGACTGAGCTATGAAATTCAGAGAAGACAAGAGGACCAAAAGACAGCCAGGGGGTTACCTTGAAATTAGCTTAAATATAATCAGTGGGAAACAGAAGCAAAATCCTATTTATAAAATTATTACTTTTGTTTAGCAAGACAGATCGTCTCAATTTTGCACAGAAAATTGCACAGGAAAAAGCCTCCCAGTAGAGACATTTAAAAGCAATTTAACATTTTTAATAAGGCAACTCTTTCTGATTCTCAACTATTTAGCCATGAAATCTTAAAATCCAATGAAAGTCTGTTTTCAAGAAATACTGCTTTACAAATTGTATTGTCTACCTAACAACCCAAGAAGAGTAACATTCTTTAGAGACTTAAATTTAATCATAATGACAACAACTAAGCTTTCTAACTGCCCTTCATGTAATTTAATGGCTATAAGCTATGGGTTTGCTTTTCTGATATTTTGTCTCAAAATTGTAAAGAAGGTCAATTTTACCCAGCAGCCTGCAAATTTCTGAGCCATTTTGTCTTGTTCCCAAGCAGTCACTTAGAACCATAAAACAGAATATATTGCATGATCAATAAGAACCTTTGAGAGGTTTGGCATTTCGTTCATGAACCATTCTTCAAAGGATCCGAGTGGAAGTTATTCCCCTCATGTAAGTGCTGAAACCATGGCACCAGGAGAGGTGACAAGGCCAGTGTCACTCCATGAGCCAGATGGGAGGAGGAATTTTCCTCACTTGGAAATGTCTCGCTCTTAAGGGCAGTGGACAGCACGCTGGACCAGTATTTGGTAGATCAGGGCTCTGGGCTATACCTTCCAAAGGCAAGTTGCCTTGCTGAGGCTCAGATTCTTCCTCCAGAAGGTCAGGATGATCATAATACTGACCTCATGAGATTTCGAGAGGATTTGATTCAACATAAGAAAGTGCTGGCCAACCAAAATCTTCCCCTTTAAAGTAAGAATGTCTTAGCATCTTTAGAGTTGTTTCTCTGTATACCTATTCTGACCAGGAGCAAATACACAACTTTGTTTGCAGCATAATCACTCTTGCTGTTTAAAACCACCCTTTTCCACTGCCATAGACTGGCCATAAAATGTTTACCTTGGTCCCTGAAAGTTACAAAAATGTGTGAATGAACCAGCACAAACCACTCCATGGCTAGAAAAGCAAATTCAGCATCGATGTGTCTATGGATGGCATCTTTTTGGCTACCATCCAATGCGGCCTCTATGCACACTTCCTGTCTCCCTCCATGGCTTTGTTGTTCTCCATGACTAGCTCACCATCTTACAGACACCTTATTTGACTTCTTGCTTATTTTACTTATTTGCTGTCTCCTGCAATTAGATGGTAAGCTTCATGCAGGCTTATTTGTCTTTTTCATTCTCTGTCATATCCTTCTCAGCAAGAAAAATGAATGACTGACATACAGAAAAATGAATGAATGAGGTCCAGCTCATGACCATCATACAAATACTCATATATCTGCAGTCAAAGGAAACCTGGAAACTATTAGAAATGGTCTGTTAAGGCTTATGCTGCTTTTAGTGTTTCAATTCCAGTATGTCAAGGCCCATAAAATAATTTTTTTGTTTTTTTTTGCAGTACGCGGGCCTCTCACTGTCATGGTTTCTCCCGTTGCGGAGCACAGGCTCCAGACACGCAGGCTCAGTGGCCAGGGCTCACGGGCCCAGCTGCTCCGCGGCATGTGGGATCTTCCCAGACCGGGGCCCGAACCCGTGTCCCCTGCATCGGCAGGCGGACTCCCAACCACCGCGCCACCAGGGAAGCCCTGGTTATTTTTTAATATTTTCTACCACTGGCCTTGTCAACAGTTTCTTATTCAAGTTATCTTTGTCCCTTTAGTTTTTATTCTCTCTACGAAGAAGGAATATAGCTCACACCTCAGGTATTAATCTTAGATTTATAGAAAAAATACAAGCCATAATGAGGGAGTACTATAGACTGAATATTTGTGTCCCTCCCAAATTCATCTGTTGAAACCTAATTCTCAATATGATGGTTATATAGAGGTGGGGCCTTTGGAAGATGATTAGATCATGAGGGCAAAGTCCTCATCAATGGGATTAATGCCCTTATAAAAGAGACCCTGGAGAGCTCCCTCATCTCTTCCCCTATGTGGAGACAGAGAGAGAAGATTATGAACCAGGAAGCAGGCTCTCACCAGGCGCCAAATCGACCAGGGCCTTCATCTTGGACTTCCAGCCTCTAGAACTGCCAGAAATAAGTTTCTGTAGTTTACAAGTCACCCAGTCTATGGTATTTTGTCATAGCAGTCCAAAAGGACTAAGACAGGGAGTCCCCACTTCCATTAGAACTTATGTGTACATTTCAAATCTACTCCCTTAAGGAATTACTCATCATTTACTGTTCATAAAGTTCCACTGTATACTCTACTGCAAGAAACCAAAGTGCGATTATTAACAGCACTAATAATAAACAGGCACAAACCTTTTTTTATCACCCTCTGTTCCCACAGTACTTGGGAGATCTGGCAAATTATTCTGTGGCAGATTGGAAAGAGGGAGTTGTGTTAGAAGTCATGACCCAACCTCTAGTGACGCTGTTTCCATATTTTCCAGCCTGGGAATCACTAGTTAGAAAATTCTAGTTTTATTCATTAGCTGCAAGAGTAGAAAATGAGCCTGTGGGGATCTTTAAAGAGAAAGAACCAGTGGAAATGAAACAGAAGAACTGAAAACCAGAAAATCCCATGAGAGTGTTGCTTTCCTGAATCGTTGAAAGGGGCTTTCCTCCGCCTTTTTACAATCACACAGAGAGTGGACAAGGTTTGGTGACACAGAAAAGGGATATACTTCTTTCTGAATTGAATTTCCTCAGGTGTCTGGCTCCTTGAGTTTGCAACACTCTTCATTTTATAGGATCTTCCTAAATAAAACTCCGCACTTTGCTTGTATAGGAAGAAACAGAATGTGTTTCTATTTTCACTTCCAGAGCCAGTGCAAACACTTATTTGTTAGATGTTGTTGAAGAGAGTGAAAAATGATGCAGATGATGGTGGTGGAGTGTCTTAACGTCACCCTGTCCCACCTATGATTTTGATGGTTCCTTTCTGACCTGCACTTGGTCACTTCTCCTGCTCTCAGGGAATTTTCCAGATAAAACCCTGTGATTGGCTATCCATGAGTAAGAGACATAGTAGGCTTTAAATTTATCTTGTCTATTTCCAGAGAGAAAGACGCAATGTAGACAGAGAAGGATGTCCTGTTTGAAGACATTTGCTTCATCTTAGAAAGTCTAAATTCATCCCCAAAATGTGCATATACATTACAAATACACTTATTTCTCTTTTAATTTTATCACGGAGCGTCTTTGGTGCTTTGACCTAGACCAAGTGGTGACGGCAGGAAAAGTAAGCTTGGGACATTATCATTTATAATATGCAGAGAAAAGCACTCACCAGCACTGACAGTGATCGCTTCAATAAACTGCTCTCTCCAGCTGTTTGTCCCAACCACGAGGGCTAGGTTTGTCTTCTTAATAAGTTTGTCCACGGTACTCTAGAGAGGTTGAAAAGAATCAGAAAATAATTGCCGGGTTGGTTAAGGCCTCGGGAAATCTCAGACCTTGATGATTTTAAAACCCCAGAGTTATCTAAAGGGTAGTAGATGTTAGGCTCAGAGCAACAGTATTGACATCAAACACTGTTACGATTATGCAAACAAGCAGAGTCCTTTCTTGGAAACATCCTGAAATGGAAACTTTTTCATAGCAAATACAAGCCTCCTTCCCTGCCTAAAAGCCAAGGAAGAACAGCCTCACCGGTTACAACTGAGGATGTTGCAAAAGCCCATCCCTTCCTCTCGTATACTTCGTGAACTTGCTTCTCTCCTGGCTTCATCTAGAGTATGTGTCTGCAACTGCATTAACCTATGCCCTGCTCAGCACTACCTATCGGTGGATAACTGTAAGTGGCAGAGAGATTACGAAACTAAAACCTGTTCTTACTATACTTTTGTTGATCAATGAAATGCAGCCAGACAGCAAAGCCTCGAGGCTGCTGCTGTATGATCATTAATAAATGGATTTTTCTTTGGCTACTGGTTTTGTCAGCCTGGTGGCTGGTAGAGAATTCATCTCACCTGACTCCTGCTGCAAACAAGAAAAGACAAAAATGGTCAATTTGTATGGTTCAGGGCAAACTGCAATGACCTTGCACTGAATTTCCCCCTGCTTTACTAGCTCTGAGCCTCTTATTTTTCTCTTTCTTTAAGACCTTGTTTAGGCACTTGCTCCTGTACAATTAGCACTCTTAGCTTTCTAAATGAATGTCCGTTCATGGAACGGCAGGAGCAGTCAAGCGTTCACAAGAAAACTAAGTAAGCAGATGCACCCAAAGCGCTACCACAAATCACAGCAATTGCAGGGAGAAGGGTCACTTCTGGGACGTGAAGCTGTTCTGCCCAGAGAGACGACCACACCGACTCGTCCACGACACGCCCCACCCTTACTGTCAGAGCATCCTCGAATTCCCACTTACTGCAAAGAGTCAGAAAACACGTATTGTTTGTCTTAGGTCAAAATCTGTACATGTTTAGTGCAGTGTCCCTGAATTGACTAAGGCTTGAGAGAGAGAGAGCGTGTTATTAGCTAACCGGGAGGAAGGAAAATGTGATCCCAGGGGCCCGTGCAGAAGGCCAAAGCTACATCAGAATGTCAACTGTGTTAGTTCAACCGTCATTGAAACTGACTTGAAACATTGAGATGATAATAAACATGAAAGGGCCCATCTCCAACTGGCCCACTCTGTCTTTTCAACATCATCCTTTGCTAGATTATTTGTCCTTATGGTGGTGACCTTTCGGCCTCTAGCTTTGTGTCTAGAACGGCTAGTGCCACTGATAATAGCTGTAACCATCAGGGCTCTTGGCCACCATAGCCAGAGGCACATGACAAGCATCTGACTTTTCTCTGGACTTGGCCAATCTCATCAAGCACTCTGAGTGTCTTGGTTGATGCCAATTCAAAGTTCTTGTTTTGGTTTTTTTTTTGCGGTATGCGGGCCTCTCACTGTTGAGGCCTCTCCCGTTGTGAAGCACAGGCTCCGGACGCGCAGGCTCGGCGGCCATGGCTCACGGGCCCAGCCGCTCCGCGGCATGTGGGATCTTCCCGGACCGGGGCACGAACCCGTGTCCCCTGCGTCGGCAGGCGGACTCTCAACCACTGCGCCACCAGGGAAGGGAAGCCCCTGTGTAGAATGTAACAAGAAATAACCTTGACTTTTCCTAAATGTGATGGAAACTTGGGGCAGGTCTCTCCGAGGAAGCCCTCTTTACCCTAAAGTCAAGGCAGGGAATCCCACTTCCTGGGGGATAAATAATTGAAGAGTGAAACTGCTCTAACAGTTAAACACAGACTCGCCTCAGAAAATCTCTCTGAAGAACAAAGTTTTAAGATAAACTAAACTTAAAATGTATATTATAAAATGTATATATGTATATATATGTATATGTAATGTATATATATAAAACCTCGGGTAGATTGTAAACTTTAGTTCATGTTAACCCTGGCAGACTACGAGACAGCCTGGGCTCTTCCCTGGACTTAATTTACATATGTGTCCTCTCTTGACCTATAGGAGGAGAGGAGAAATTTGAAATTTGATCCTTGAACTTTGCCACGGACACTGACCTGGAGGTTTCCTGTATGTCGGTCATTAGCTCTTCATGGTGCTAGTCTGTAGCAATAGTTTTAACCTCACTCTCAGCCATGGGTGTTAGAAAAGTCCAGCCCTTGGTCACAACATAGTAAACAAGAACCCAGTGGGCAAAGCAGACTCGGACATTGTGAGGTATCAGCCAGATTTGGGTCTTTAATGCAGTTCTGAGGGCTTTGAACAATTTCTTTAAAACGGCTATGGTCTAGAAAAAATTTCCTAAACAAATAATATGATATCAACATTGATGCTTGAGGGCACTTCAGAAACATGCCCCAAGGTACCCTTCAGTGTTACCAGTAACTGTCCTGATGAACTTTGAGCAGATGGGAGGAAACAGTCTATGGAAGATATTCTAGGAAGATAAGTACCCCAAACAACTGGACTTATGAAGAGAGACTTGGTTGACTTTCAAATGCTCGGATCACTGGAGTGGTTACCAGAGAGAGCTTTGGACACAAGAAAACTTTTATGCCTAGAAGGCTGTGCCCTGCCATACCCTTCCTACAGGAAGTGACCGTGACTTCTCTTCCTGGTCATGGGTGCATGGAAGGGGAGTGCCCAGGGTGGTCCCTTAAGGAAGAGGGCATACAATCATTCCCAATGAGAGTCCTGGGAGGGGTGGGGGACAAGCGTTTATAGAAAATGCCAAGCTGTAGAATCTCTGTTGTCGCAAGTGGCACCACGCCCTCTGGTTCCAGGTGAAAAGAGGGTGCGTGATAAAGAGTGAAGATGGAGACGGGAACAGATTGGTCCACAGAAATGGACAGTCTCAGATATCCGTGCCTCAGGAATCTCAGGGAACTTGTGCATATACCAGTCAAGCGTGTGCAGCGAGCCAGGGTCTGGATGAAACGCCAGGTGGGCTCTGATGGTGGGGGTCTGCCTAGAAAGCACTAGTCCCAGGGTCTGCCCTGCTCTTTCTTTCTGTGGGAATGAATGAGAGGAGTTAACACATACATCCACAGTGGCCTGAAGGGGAAAGTTTAATTGCGTTGTCTATCTTTTAAATGCCACTTTAATTTGCAAAGACATTTTTCTTTCCACCTGTCGCCTCTCAGGCACCTCCATTTGTGAACTAAATTAGAAAAATACTGAACGGGCCCAGCAAAAGGCAAAGAAGCCACTACTGTGAAAACTCCAGATATGATCCTGAGGCTTTTAGGTTGGTGACCTGATTCTCCCTTTGGGAATTTTCATTCTGGTTTTCCAAACAGGAGCAGAATCTGCTTTAAAAAAAAAATAAGTGGGGAAAATGCTGCTGTGCTCTGGCTTGTAGTTCTGGAAAACCAGAGAGAGGCTGCTCCTTTTCATGTCCCACTACAGAACGCTGGTGCGGCTCTCCCGGGGGCTTCTAGGTGTGAGGACCACGTGAGTGAAAAGGGATGGGAGCTGGGGCAGGGGCCGAGGGAGCAGCTAAGAGTGGTCGAAAAGGTTCATTTCAAAGTCCTAAGCTCACCCTAAGGCCCATCTGCTTACCTTCTGAAAAATGACTTTCCTCATCTAGAGAACTGGAAATCCAGTTTTATCAGCCCAGTTATAAACTCTCCAGTTACAGACACTCTGCCTTCAGTTTGTTGATTGTGCTCAAGTGTCCTAGGATCTTAAGAACGTGACTACGTAATATACGAGAGCTTGTCAATGGCATGTTCCACAGGGAAAGCTTACCATCCTTCCTCCAAAACAAAAGCCTCGTTTTCAGCAGTGTCAAGGCTTTGCTTCTACTAGATTGATTAGCTTTTTCAAACAAAGCACCGTTTCTTCCACACATAACAGTCTCTTGGAACCCATCTTTGCCTCTTCCTTGCTATCCAAAGCCCTCCCTTTAGGGCACCTCTGACCTTGCACAGTGATGTGTGCCACCCACCAGACCCTGATTCTGACACTGTTTAGCCTACAGGATCTCTTGGTTCCCTACCAACTCGCGAATCCCATTTCTGCTCTAAAGGCCTCTCCATCAACGAGCCAGTTCCTGAGACGACATCTGCCTCTCGTACAGCACAGACCGACGCTATGAACCGCCTTGGCGCGGAGATGGGCCTGGCCTCCCTGGTGGGCAATGCTGGTGCGTGTACCTTGAACTCATAGGATTCTTCAATGATCACTTCCAGCCTGGTGTGCTCTCCCAGAATGGGACGCCCCATTTCTGCAATGCGTCTCTCCTCCTCTTCTTTGCTGGTCAGCGGCTGCTTGTCATCACATTCCTCTGTGAAAGGGAAGGGCAAGGGAGTGAGAATGGATTCACATTTATTTGGAGATCCCTGGATCCCGCTACAAGAAAACCAAGAAGGAAGGAAGCCCTGATGACCTACTGAAAGCCCCCGGGCTGGTGCTGTAAGGCTGGAGGGGAGAATTGGACAGACGCTTGTTGCGTGGGGCAGTGATCACTGTGACAGCAAGTGATCATAATATCCCACAACCTAAGCACCTGCCAAAAAAGGGCAGATCAGGAAAAGCAACCTATAGGGCCATATCACTGGTAAAGACCCTGTCCACGTGTTGTCTGCGTTGAGGGAATCACCCAGCTGTCCCCTGGGACACTGGCTCACCTGGCTGTCTGTACGCATCCTTCTAGGACATGACCAAGAGGAAACACAATTAAAGTTCCAGAGCGACTCAAGGAATGTAAGACACTGGCCTCCTCTTCTCCACTTTCTAAAGGCAAAGAAAATGGCCCAGGTCCCAAGAGACGATAGATGGGAAATTCTGATCTTAGCCTCTCACTTGCCAAGAGCCCCTGCTGCAAGTTAAGAAGCAAAACATCCATGAATTCCACGGGTCAGTAAGATGCCTGCGCTCCAGAGCTGCCTCCCTCTGGTGCAAAGCTGAGATGGGTTGGGAGGACTCTGACCATGTTAACGTTAAAGGAAACAGAGAGAGCGAGGATGAGGCCTTTGGGACGTTAATACTTACTGACCATGGGGGCACGATTATTTCCGGAACCACCATGTAGCTTACAATCCAGGAGAGGCTAGTGGGCGCTCAGAAAATGCTAATGGACTTGAGAGTCCATTAATGAGGGGAAGCTCACAGTTGGGTCCTCTCTGTGTGAAGGTCATTAGGATAAATCCCAGACTGAAAAGGCCACGCACATGTGAAGGACAAACAGTACTCCTGTAGCCACTCAGCCTCCTGTCCTTCAGGCTCAGGGTGCTGGAACAAGACAGGCCACTTCCCCTCACAGTCAAGCTGAATGGACCTCATCTCCAAGGAAGTAGGCTTGGTGGTACAGAAAGACCACAGCCCTGACGCCCTTGCTTCTAGAACCTTCCAGGCAAACTGCCTGCAATGGGAGTCTGTTGACTGAGGAGAGATGAGGAAGGGAGGGACTTCTAGCCCAGACTCCTTGCCTTTTGCATTTAGGCATCAGCTATTGCAGGAGTCCACATCTCCCATCCCATCCCACCCATACATGGCTTCCCTCTGCTGAGGGACCCTGCCTTGGTGGCTTCATCTGATGCTCTAGCAAATGATGCAGAAGACTAGTTCCTAGGCCAGTTGTTGATTACTGGGCCTTGATGGCTTCATCTGATGCTCTAGCAAATGATGCAGAAGACTAGTTCCTAGGCCAGTTGTTGATTACTGAGCCATGGAGCAGTGGGGCTAGAGGCACTGCTAGCATTTTACATACCAAGTGTCAAAACCAAGCAAAAGGCAAAAGCAGAGGTAGCATATCAAAGAATTCTTTATTATGTATTCAGTAGTGTCTTCCTAAACATATATTTCAGAATCTGCTTTCCTATCCCCAGTAATTACAGGGCCCCAAAGAAATTAGAAGACTAAAAATAAGCGATTTTGGACTAGCCAAAATCTACTAAGTGTTAGCAGATGCAAAAGAGAGGTGCAAGTAGATTACTTTTAATGGTAAAAGTTATAATATTTCTTAGAGTAGGCTTGGGAAGTTACGACCCAAGGGAAGGCAAAGGTTTTTGATTGGTGTCCCCATGATTTGCCCCTGAAATTAAGTGTGTAGAGTCAAGGGGGGTGAGCTGAGGTATGTGAGGTCCCATTTATCCAATGCTCAAATCAATCATATTTTGATTCCCACTGCTTTCTGATCTTAAACCCAGGAAAATGTTATTAGAGTTTTCGTAGGAGCAGGTTATATTAGTGTCTTTGTTCATAACCCTGGCTGAACATGGATATTTTGGAGGCTTAGTCAAATAAGAATTATTTTTCCAGAAGAAAAACTACTACAACTTAGATTTTAATTTGAATTACAAAGCCATTTGCGGGAGAATATTTATTATGTCCCCCTTTTAATAGTTTACTTATAAATGGGAAGTTGCTTTTAATGGGATTCAAGTCAATTTAGGTAAAAAAGAAAATAGAGAAATTATGAAAGGAATGGGATGCGGTGGCACTGTTGAAAGCCGCATTTCGCAAAATGAAATGATTTGGAACATGGTATTAAATGAATGGACATGGTAGTAAATGAAATCAAATCACATAGTGAGTGAAAAGGTTATTCCCTTTTTAATCCTCCTTTAGTCCTTCTGATGAAGTTTGGTGCTGTCAGGTCTGTAACTAGTTCTTGACATTAGGGTTTCTACCATTTACGAAAGAGAAAATAGTTCTCAGGCATAGAGCATTTGACTGCATTGAGCTAGAGGTAATAACTTTTTTCGTTCTAAAAATTTTAACCTTACTTTCTCTATGTGATAAATACTAGCTTTCTATTAGTGTTAGTGACTTAAAGTTTTTTTTTTTTTTTAACAAATCTAGTGAAGTAAAAACGTGAGGCAAAAAACTGCATGAAGTGAATAATAGCATAGTTGGTATGCGGCCAAAGGAAGTACTGTAAAAGAGGTACGCGAAAGAGCAAAATTTTAGGAATTAATGTTTAAACAGATTTCATACTAACCTAAGGAAAAGCAGGAACCTTGTTTCTATCACTTTCTACATTCTTGCTCCAAACCAGACTTGAATTTAATGCCACACTTTATTCCACTGTCTACCCATCTGGAAAACCTTCCCCATTTTCATCTAGCTAAATCCTACTTACCTTTCAAAACCCTACCTCTTCTCGCATGAAATATCCCTCAATTGACCTATTTAGGAATGACCACTCTAACTTTAAATTAATTCTGAATATTTGTTGGGTGTACATATTAAACGTGGACACTTCTAATATACTACTTTTTAATATTTAAACTACCTTTACATACAAATATCCAACATGTAAACTTACCAAGATAGAACAATACATCTCATTGCTCTTTGGATTTTCCTCATATCCCTCAGAGCCTATTACTACGTATGGAAAGTAGTAGGTGCCCAATAAGTATTTGTCATGTGACTGTCCAACTCAGACAAGCCTCTTCTTTGCTCTATGCATATAGTAAAGACCATGTGTTCATTTCACACGTCACTGCACTCCTACGCTATGTCAGCACACTGAGGCCCCTCCCACCCCGCCTCTTTTTCCAGGAACTCACGGTCTAGTGGGAAGTGAAGCATATAGATGGGACAACTTCTAGTACAGCAAGGTAGGGGCTGAAGGTCCAGGGTCGGGGAGTAGCTCCCTCTGACCAAAGGAGTCAGGGAAGGCTTCAGGAAAGAGGAGATATTTGAAATTGGCCTTGCAGCATGTATAGGAGCTTGCCAGGTGAAGGTAGTGGGAAGGCTGGCTAGGAGGTAATAGAGGAAGGAGGGGCATTCCAGGCAGAAGGAAGTCAAAGCACAAAGGCCTAGTGTCATGGTAGGGTCAGGGCTATTTTCACTTAATAAACATCGTGAACATGTAAGAGATAATTATACTTATATGTAACTGAGAGAAGACAGCTGGATAAATCCTTTTATTGCTCTATAATGTTACAGATAAATTAGTATTTGTGATCCAGATTTTTGAAACTGGCAAAAAAGAGAGCTAAGCTTATTTTTTTTAAGTGTCTTCTCTTTAGGTATCTTTTATTGAACAGGGAAATCGTTTAACAGCATATTTTTTGATCACCTATTTTTTTTTCACTTTGAGTGCTGGCTCAAATGCAGTTCATTTTACTGTGGCCAAGTCAGTTTCATTTCCTTATGTATGCATATGCTGTGCTTTTAGTTCTGCTTCTCAGGTAGAGAAAATTCTCTATGTAATCCTGTTTATCTGTATGTGTACATATATATGTACATAGTTTTTAACTCATCGTATTTTATTGAGAAGTTGATAATAAATTATATAACATCATGGTCTTAACCAACCAGCCCAATTTAAAGATCAAATGCATAATTAACGGCCATGGTTAAAATCAGTATTGACAGGACAGAAGACAATCCTGTGATGAAATCATGGGTAGGGGTCCTCCCTTCTCCTGAGTAATTGATTTTGCAAATGACACATCACAATAGCTAATAGGTACCTGGGATCTGGGAAAGGCAGAATTATGAAAAAGCTGCTGTTAATGCTTTCTTGATCAGGCTGCATTTTGAAGCCACATCACTGTAAGAGGTGAAGGGCTGAGAACACGAACGTCTGTTAGAAAACAATACAACCCACGTGGAGATCTGCACCCGAGGAGCTACTGTGGATATTCTTGAATGCATTTGCAATTTTTTGTCTCAACAAACAATGTCAAATTTGGAAATGGGTACAAGGCCAGTGGTGGGACAATTTGCTTGTGGTTATTTTAATCCTTCACTCAGATCTGTGCTGACAAGTCTGAGAGCGGAGATCTCCTTTCCAGCACCTGGCTGGCCTGTTTGATTAGAACCTAAAGAGACTGGTACTTTATTTCCATGAGGAATATTCTGGAACAACTCTGCAGCCAGGGCTGCATGATTACTGAATGGGGGTGTGGGATGCGAGAACGAGCAAAGTCTTACTGAGGCAGGCAGAAGTGTTTCTGCAGCCATGACCAGTGATGGGCGATGGTGACAACTGAAGAGTGAGTATCCGTGTCCTTATCCAGAGTCTTGGTAACTTAAGGCAAGGGGCTCATACCCGGGCTCTAATCCTACAGTCGATCTGGGATAGCTTTGTCATCCTTTAGTCACCCTGTCAATGTTCCCCTCTGGAGAAACCCCACAGATGTACTGCCATCTGTGCATATTTGGCTAACATCATGTTGCCTGGCGGAAGGAAAGGCAGACTCTGGGAAGAGAGACAGCTTGCTTTTAAAGACATTTCATGACATTTGCAATGAAAGACCCACGTTTAAGAAGCGAGATTTGCACGAAATCTGGAGTATACTGAAACTTGAGAGGCTATTGGACTCAATCTTCTCTGTAGGTCCATGCTTCCCCCTCCACCATGCGTCCCGTCCTGGGCCGATGTGGTGTCTTGTTGCTGACTCATCATACCCCCAACTGCAGAGAAGCCATGGCATTGTGTAGCAAATGCTTTAGAGGTAATGGGGGTGAACTGTGTCACTTTAATGTCGAAAGACCGAAAGAACCCTTGAAGGCAATTAAACTGTGGTTTTCAAGGACCGTGATGAAATGAGTACCTGCGATGGTGATTATAGTAGAGGGTATTGGATGTTCTCTAGCATGAACTTTCCTGAAGACAGGTTGGCCTAGCAAAAGGACAGGCAGAAAATCAGCGGACTGGATTGTACTGGTTTGCCAGAAGAGCGTTGTGGAATTAGTAAGCTGAATGTCACGCCCAGATGCACACAGTGCAAGCAATGTTAGTTTGGGGACTGAGTGGTCAGAGGTCACTGTTATGTAGATTGAAGAAGTGAGCGAGTAAATAAATGGGGCAGGTGTTCTAGGAGTCCAATCAGATTGTGTGAATAAAGCACACACCCCACAGTAGGGGGGCAGCCAGATTCCTGCAGGTGTCTGAGATGGAGTATCCATGCCCGTCAAGTTCCTGCTTCCAGAGGCATCACGAAACAATGAAAAGCACTCGGTGTGATGACAGGTAGCCTCGTGGTGCCAACAACATGGCCTTAAGTAGGCCATTTCTCCAGTTACCCCATGTGTGAAATGGAGATAATAGTGCCTGCTCTGTCCATATCACAGGTCTGTGTGAGGGTCAAGCAACATAACATCAGGGAACATGCTTATTTGTTTCCTTGGCAGTCTGAATGGGAGAAGGTTGTACACACTGGTGGGTTTTACAAGGGTTCACCATTGTCACAGTGACTGGCTGGATTACCTAGTTTAGGATTTTCATGAAACTCCTGGTTCAACAGACCACCTGCTTTTCGCTTCTACCAAGAGATCCCAGAACTGACCTGGAATCATGAGACTGGGACTCTGCAAATTCTGCCATATGCTTTCCATCTAAACTTGGGCAAGGTGTTTCTTTTCTCTGGGATTCAGTTTTCTCAATTGTACAATGAAGGCAAACTTAAAGGGGATTTGTTTCTCTAACCTATGTACTGGAGTGTGTTTAACTCCAGTTAAAGTGTGTTTAACTGTCGGAATTTTCATAGCTTGACTTCCTTAACAAGCCATGTGCGTTGTGAAGACTATCACATGATGAGCGTAATATGATTGGAAGAGTAACTTTTATTTTTCTTTTTTTTTGCAGTACGCGGGCCTCTCACTGTTGTGGCCTCTCCCGTTGCGGAGCAACAGGCTCCGGACGCGCAGGCTCAGCGGCCATGGCTCACGGGCCCAGCCGCTCCGCGGCATGAGGGATCTTCCCGGACCGGGGCACGAACCCGTGTCCCCTGCATCGGCAGGCGGACTCCCAACCACTGCGCCACCAGGAAAGCCCCGGGAAGAGTAACTTTTAAAAAGGGGGCTTCCCTGGTGGCGCAGTGCTTGAGAGTCCGCCTGCTGATGCAGGAGACGCGGGTTCGTGCCCCGTTTCGGGAGGATCCCACATGCCGCGGAGCGGCTGGGCCCGTGAGCCATGGCCGCTGGGCCTGCGCGTCCGGAGCCTGTGCTCCGCAAATGGGAGAGGCCACGACAGTGAGAGGCCCGCATAACGCAAGAAAAAAAAAAAAAAAAAAAGGTATACTGACTGTTACATACTTTTAATTAATTAGGGGACTTTTTAGCTGCCTGTTTGGGGACAGAAACATGCCTCTATCTTTCCAAATTGAGCCAGAATGCTTAATTTTGTTAAAAATATCTAAATTAATGTACTCTGGTTTCCCCCTTTTGGGGTCCTCCTCATTTTTCATTTGACTGGAATTCACACTGATGGCATTTCAGAGACATAGCGAGGCTTCGGATCGAAAAGGGATTGAGATGCAGGTAGGAATATACCAGTTGGGGGAAAGGAACTAAAAGTGCTGGGTTAAAGTAGTCATCACATGGCCTTGGACTTAAAGTTAGAGGGCCGGGCTCTGAGCCCTGGATGGGTGACTGGAGTAGACTGATTATCTTTGAACCTTCATTTCTTCTCCTATAAGTGAGAACAAAAGATCTTATTCCATAAGGTTGAGGATTAAATGATATAATGAATAAGAAATACTTTCCAAATTCGAATGAGCTATAATGTATAGGGGGTTATCATGTTATGTGCCTGGAGGGTCAAGGGGGGAATTACATCACAGGTCCCAACAAGGGCCTTTCAATGAGGCAAAGTCTGAGAGCAACAGGTGAAGATTTGCAAATTCCAAAAGCACCTCCAGCATTTAATGTCCATCACTAATGACACCTCTGAAATAGAGGTACTGGGTTGTGGACCAAATGGCTTTTTCAATTTCCATATATCCTGCTTCAAATTTAGATTTTCACACTTAGCTGCACAAGACTCTGCATAAAAGCTGCAGGCAAAGTCCAAGAGTTAGATTAATTTTACTTTACTGCCCCTGCGTCTCAAAGCATTGACTTCAAAGCCTCAAACTGACTTCAAAGAAAAGCTCTCCAGGGCTTACAGCTGGTTTTCACTGTGTAGACCTAAATTTTAGAACTTTCCCCAGAGGCATCTATAGAGAGTGGATCCCAGGCATTCTGGCCTGGTTCCGGAGAAAAAGGATCATGTAAAGGGAGAGGAACAGGCCAATGTGGAAATTCCCAGAGGGTTCTGCAACTTTCTCTCATTTTAACTGCATCAATTTCAGGTTTTGGGAAGAGGTGGTAAAACAGAAAAATTGCTATTGAAGATTAAGGTTCAAGCTATAAGAAAGAGCTTAATGAAGTCCATGAAATAACAGCAAACCTTTGAAAGAAGTGATTCTGTCCTCTTAGATGCATGATGTGTCCGAGACAGAAAATGTTGGACATTACTGGTGGGGTATTCTAGAACTTGATATGAACAATTTCTGAGCAAAGAAAATTAGGGTCCCATTACCTAGTTACTAAAAAGGAAGATGTTTCAATGGAAGGAAGGCCCTAAAAGCAAAATCCTGACATATTCAATGATAAAACAGGAAGCTATCCAAACACACAAATGCGTTTTAACAAGGCATTCTACCACTAAAGGTTTTTAGTTAAGGTCTCATTATCAGGCTGCATAGGGCTGAGGGAGCTGTAGATACTATACTATTCCTCAAATGGTTGCCTTTTTTTTTTTTTTGCAGTACGCGGGCCTCTCACTGTTGTGGCCTCTCCCGTTGCGGAGCACAGGCTCCGGACCCGCAGGCTCAGCGGCCGTGGTTCACAGGCCCAGCCGCTCAACCGGGGCACGAACCCATGTCCCCTGCATCGGCAGGCGGACTCTCAACCACTACGCCACCAGGGAAGCCCTTTTTTTTTTTAATTACTTCAAGGAAGCCATGAAGACTGGCTTGCCAAATTTCTACCTTCCTCAAAGCTCACAAGGATCATTAACTTACTGGGTGATAGAATCAGAATATTTCCAAAAAGATTTCAATAAGTTAAAATGATGGGATGAAAAAAGGAAGATTAAAGTTTTAAAAGTAAATGTAAATTCCTGCACTCGGATTCAAAAATAGCATATTCGGCAGTGCTGAATTTGGAAGACTTGACCTAGGAGAGTGTCAGGTGAATCAGGTTTAAGAAATCCTCTATGAGCACTTGTTCTATTTAACATTTTTGTCCTTTTCAATTTCGATGTCTCTGAGAGTCTATGAATCATTTTGTCATTAAATGCTGTGTCTGGAGAGAAGTGGAGGGCAATAGCCCATGTGAAATTGGACGCGTTCAGAAAGTTCCGCTTTGGACAGAATCATGTTGAGACGTCTCGATCATGAGTTTACACTGATGGTGGTTTAAGTTAACGCCACCCCACACCGTAACATTTTCAAACTTAGAATGTTTGAAAATATTTCCTTTCTAAATATTTTGTTTAGCTATCTGGTTTCAGAAAAAAATAATTAGAATATAGATGTCTGCATAATTATATTGGAAAATGCCACGGCCATTAGGATGGCCTTTAGGGACATCTTCAACCTACAGCTTCAGACAAATCAGGCCTACCATTTGGTATGTATCTCCGTCTCTAAATCTACATAGATGATTCTGAAATGGTGAGAAAATATTTAGGGTCAAAAGAGAGGATGCTGTAAGGAAATATCTTTCTTCTCTATGTAAGGAAATAGCTTTAGAGTTGTGCTGGCTAAAAAATGCAATCAACAGCGGCTGGGTACCATTATGAAATTAAGGGTTTTAAACTTTTTGACTGACATTTTGAGTTTTTACAGAGCACTCTGTAATCCACTGCAAGTGGCAGACATAGTACTCATTACCATGTTAAGAATGCTAAAACTTTGCAGATTGGTGTGGTGGGATGAGGGGAAGGCATGCTTTATCTTCTCCCAATAGGGCATCATCTATGATTAGGACCCTGAGCTTGGGCCATGGAGTGGGCTTGTATGTCAACTCCTATGTTTCCTTGAGACTAGCGATCGTTTTATTTATTCTGGTACTCTCTGGAGCATCTAGCAAGGTACACTCACATCATCAGTGCTATGTGAACATCTGTAAATTGATCAGTGTCAAAATATGACCAATTACAGGTTCTCCACACAAATTTGCTTATAAGTAAACACAGCACACACCTTGTTAATGTGTAAAATGTTACATGTGTAAAGTCAGCAAAAGCACACCACGTGCCATAGCTAAATGTTAATGCAGGGTACATAATATGTGGTTTTTGTTTGATAATTAAGGGTATTTGGGGGAAAATGAAGAACATTAAAAAATTGTCTTACCATACAGGTATTTTCCTTCATTAAAAGGAAATAAAAATGAGAAATAATTTTTAAAAATGCAAACAACTCACGGTACAAAATAAAATTTGGTTAATTAGACTTAAGAAATTCATACCTGTTATTGTGAAGCCACCTAAAAAAGAAAAAAAAGAAAGAAATGTTACAATTCATTTAATTTACACTCTAAATAACAAATACCAGTGCATCAGACCGCCTGACAGCCCATCCAAAGTACAAAAACTTGCCAAATTATATATACAATTAAGAAAAACATGAAAACATCCATTCATGACTTAATCACTAATCATTCTTTTAAGACTATGAGCTTTAGTGCACAAATTTAATTCTTGTGCATACCTAAGAAAGCACTGATTTTGTAAAAGGTTATACTGAACCCAAAGCGGAATGTAAACTATCCAACCTTCACAAAATTATGAGGCTAATGGCTCTAAACAACAATCTTGCTAATAAATCAGCAGAAATAAAAAATAAGTCAGAAAGCTACTGTAGCACCTGATAGAAATGGAAAATAACCTAGAAAAATGGAAAGGAAATGCAAGAAATGAAATGCTTACCAAGCTCATTCAATAACAGGGCTGTGAAGGAAACAGACAAAGACAAACACAGAATAAGAGACCAGATGAATAATGAAAGTAAGAGGAATATCAGCAGAAAGAAATCCAGGCAGATCTGATTACAGTGGTAGGGAGTTGCTACTAAAAATTGGTGCACGCCAAGTAAATGTGGCATTGGGAGTATTTCCAAATGATCCCAGAACCGATTTCTGCAAACGTGTGTGACTGATTCTATATATATAAACAATTCACTTTATATATTATTTCTTGGCATTTAAGAAAACATTTCTACCATATGTTTACACACAGTATATACATCTAGTTTGCCAAATATAGTAGAAATATTTTATGAAGTTAATCCTAAACCTTATTTGAGTGAGCCTTCCTCATGAAATAATTGCCTGGCAGTTAGTGAATTCAACATATGGAAGTCTTAAAGCATTCCAGGATCTCAGGGATTGTACCTTTCAATGAAAACAGAGAAAACATCTTAGGAAATTCCATTTTGGCCGCCCCACCCATAAGGAGACTTTGGCCCAAGATGAAGTTCTCTCGCTGGAGGTTCTATTTGCATGATATTTTGGTCATCAGGGAATGCTTATGTTTTTTAAATCCTCAAAATCTGTGTCCCAGGAATCAGTGCTTATTTGTGTGTCCTTATCTATGACCTGCACGGTATAATCGGACAACCAGATAGCTTCTTGCGGACGCATAATTCCACAGAAACTGACAAGACAGGGAGGGAAGGCCTGGGGCAGCTGAGGTGGGGTGTGGAGCTACATACATAATTTGTCTTTCAGGTTTTGTGCTTTAAACCCAGACTATAGCTGTAGCACTTTATTCTGGTGAAAGCTACCTGACTAAATATATCAAATAAATTACTTCCAGAGTTGTAGACGGGAAAGTTACAATTACCTTTTCAGGACCAGTTTTCCCTCTACTGGTAGTGGCATTAGAGGATACTTTATAAAACAAGTTAGTAATTTTATTTATGGTGACACAGATCCACTTGGTGGGTGTCAAAAGCAAATAGTGCTATCAAGGAATTTTAATTTGCTTTTATATGAAGGCATGTTTTACCAAAATGACAATTGAAAGAGCTGTATTCAAGATGCTCTTCCTTGAGATAAAAGGCAGTCCTTTGGAGGAACGCATTCAGAAGTAAGTGCTTTTTCCTGTATGTTAATGAGGCATTTTTGATCCCATCTTTGTAAGAAATCGGCACAGTTTTCTAAAGTGTCTTTTTCTTCCGCCTGCTGTCTGTGGAGCATATTAAATAGGCTGCATTAAAATGGGTCCCCAGCGCTCCTTTCTCCATCATTCCAAAGGCTCCTGTTACCTTTTTGAACATGATTAAGTCAGGACAACTTTGTTTTTGTTTGTTTTCTGATGGACTCTGAGGCCAGTGAGTTCTTACAAAAATGGGATTAGTTAAATTCCCCCAAATGTTGGGTCTGTATAGGAATTAGTCCTTTGTATTTGATTTTTTCTTTACATGTAAAAGTTTACATTTCTTGCAAAGTGGTCACCTAACCATCTATACCGCTCTCGTCAATGGTTTGAATGCAATTAATAAGAGCTATTAATAGGTACTACGCTCATTATATATATATAATTAAGTGTATACCATTGCTTTTAAAATGACCACTAGGGCTTCCCTGGTGGCGCAGTGGTTGGGAGTCCGCCTGCCGATGGAGGGGAAACGGGTTCGTGCTCCGGTCCGGGATGATCCCGTATGCCACGAAGCGGCTGGGCCCGTGAGCCATGGCCGCTGAGCCTGCGCGTCCGGAGCCTGTGCTCCGCAACGGGAGAGGCCACGGCAGTGAGAGGCCTGCGTACCGCAAAAAACAAAAATAACAAAAACAAACAAACAAAAAAAATAAAATGACCACTATTAGAGGGTAATTATGGGACGCCCTAGGAATACTTCAGAATAAAAAAAATATTTTTAAAGCTGATATAAAATTCCTGTCCTTCCTTCTCAAATATAGGCCATATGAAATAGATATAAAATCAAAGACAGCAAAAAATATGGCTTCTTTCTTCAAATAGTTTCTAAAAATATAAACACAAATCAACACAAAAATCTAATTATAAGGATACTGCTGTTTACTTTTTATTTTTAGAAAAAAATTCTATATGTTAGAAATGTGTCAATTCTACAAGAATCAAAAGATTTTGAAGCATAAGGCAGGATCGGCCTTAAGTAAGGGCTAAGTTCTTACTGAACTACCATATCCTTCCTACTAAAGAAAATTGATATGACCATGGTTTCATACATATGGTCTCTTTTAAATATCATATCTGATGATATGAAAAATATTTTGCCAAATGAACACTAGGATATTGATGCCACTACTCTTTAAGGATCTTTGTTCGAAGTTTTTTTTTTTTTTTTAAAACTGGCTTCTCTAAATTAGACTAATTTATTGAATTCTTCTGAAATTTCCTATTAGTTGCCATTAGACCCATCTACCATGACTAATAGGTATTAAGTAGTCTCCATCACTAACATTTTGGGGGATATTTAATAGCTGGAACCAAATTTTAGAATGATTCCTGAATAGTGAAAAACTAAACCCAGAAATCATTCTTTTATGTCATCCCTTCTGAATTACAGAAATCTCTTCCAGTATTTCTGGAATCTGGTATCAATTAAGGTGAGCTGGCATTTTCTGAAGAAAAGGGGCATTGTTTGGTGCATTTGTGAATATGGGTAGGGAAATGAAATGGCTAAAGCTTCAAAGGAGAGGAAGTATAGTACTTGGAAGCCGAGGAAGAGGAGAGGGTTAAGTGTGAGAGTAGGAGACACAAAGAGTACAATTTCTCGCTGGTATGTCTTTGTATACTCTCACACCTTTCATTCCTCTTCTTATCCATTTTGGCTCCTCAAGCACAAGGGAGAAACTGCACTCTTTCTCATATTCCTCACGGTCAAATATTCTAATGGTAATGATCTTCCTGTGGGAACACAAGACAAAGGCAAAACAAATGGTTGGAGTCACACGCTCATGCTAGGTGTTCACCAAGCAGCATGTTACTGTGATGTTATGGAAGGAGAACTGGCCACACATGGACCTCCAGGAGTATGTAAAAGGGCATCCAGATACTCTCAAGCTGGCCCCGTCAAGTTTCCTCTGCCAATCCATCATTTTTACAAATTCTTCCTGCTTCAATTAGCAGTCAGGAGGTATCCCAAATTAGGAAAAGAAATCAGAAAGTCGGCTTTATGTGGGTGCAGGAGGCATCAGCACCAACTTTCCCAGGCTCGACTGCACTGCCAATGAGTAGCTCAGACTGCCATGTGCAGAGTGGCCCAAACTGGCTGATGGAACTCCAGGCTGGGCTCCCTGTGGCCCCAGAGGAGATCTATGCCCCGTTACATAGGTGGAGGAATGTGTGCATTGTAAGTCACGTTCTGAAGAGTGCAGGCATCCAGGGGTGGCACAGGCCAGCAGAAGCTGTTGGGCTCAGCCCTGGAGCAGTTCCCCCACCTTTCTTCTCACTCATCTCCACCAAGCGGGGCTCGCCAATCTCAAGGAGGAAGGTCTTGTTTTTCTCATACTCCTCATCATCAATTACCTTGACTGATATTGTTTTGCTGAAACAGAGAAGAATAGAAATTGACAAACAAGGGGAATAGGAAATAGGAGAGAAGGAACATAGAGAAGAGGAAAGCAAGGTTAACGAGTGGCACTTCCAGACGAATGGCAACCGAGAAACTTCTGGACCGTGAGACTGTCCTTCCAGAATGGGTGTGGGATGGGTCTGAGAGAGTGGAAAGGTCACCCAATGCACAGCTGCCCTGCCCAGGAGCACAGAATTGTTTCAGCCAAAATACAGCATTCATACTACTAGGTTTATCATCATCACGGGAAGCAGAAAAACATAGATCACAATAATAAGAAAAGAAAAATATATTTATTTAGTAAATGCCTTAACCACAGGATTGTCTGAGCTGTGCTCTGGAATTCAACCCTTTGAAACAAATCAGTAAACCACATCAAAATATGAACAGAGGTTATATCTGAGTAACAGGCATAAGGGTCATTTTCGGGGGCCTTCATTCTGCTTTACTGTATTTCCAAACATAACATTTTTACCACAAAATTTTATTAAAATAATAAATGCATAAGAGCATCACAAATTAAAGTAAAATTCTTTTATCTTACCCCACCCAACGTCCTAGACTCAAACTCTTTTTCAGGTGACTCAGATTTTCCACCTAGATCACAAGGGGATCATGTTCATGTTTTGTTTGTCTTTCTAAAGATGGAAGCCTCCTAAGGTGGGGGTGGGGAGTCATGATGTTCTAGTTATCTTCTTCCCTCCCAAAGTTGACCTTCAACTTTGACAAAATACACTCTACTCTACTTTCAAACTCCACCGATACACCAAGGCATTTCATTAAGAATTCTTCCTGTAATCCATCCTTTAGAGCTTCTTGCCTTATCCTGTGGTTGTGATTGACAGGTAGGTAGGACAAATGCAAATATTATGCAAATCGCAACTCCCTACAAGACTTGACGACTCTGAAAAGAAATTTAATGTTACCTTCTAATTAATAAGAGCTTAATCACTTCATGTTTTACAACTTATTCAGAGCCCCCAAACACTTGTTTGTCCTTGAAAATATTTTTTTGTTCAGTACCATTGGCCAAAAACATTTCTGACTGAAGGTTTTTTTTTTTTTTTTTTTGCGGTACGCGGGGCCTCTCACTGTTGTGGCCTCTCCCGTTGCGGAGCACAGGCTCCGGACGCGCAGGCTCAGCAGCCATGGCTCCCGGGCCCAGCCGCTCCACGGCATGTGGGATTCCCCCCAGACCGGGGCACGAACCTGTGTCCCCTTCATCGGCAGGCGGACTCTCAACCACTGCGCCACCAGGGAAGCCCTGACTAAAGGTTTTAAAACAATGAGTTTATAAAGACACACAGTTTTAATGTCATGGACATTATTTAGTTTTGGTGGAATTTTCTAGGTCTTCTGGAAGGAAATTAGTCTATAACCTTTCTTTTTTTCAATATTGATCAAAGCCCTCAAGTTTCATTTAGTCCTATGCAGGCCAAAGAGCACCAGTCTTATTTTCTTGTATGAAGGAGAATAAAGATAGAAGTTGCTTTTAATTCTCTGAATTTCCCAGCCCCTAACGCTAAGTGAGATCAAATGATTGCTTCTGATTCTTGGGAGCCTCATAACCTCCTCGCTGCTCCTCAGCTAAAGAACATCCCCCATAGCGCTCACATCCCCATTTCTCACTACCAAGGAGCTGGAGCGCATGACAGTGCCTTTCTATCTCAGCTCTGTCCTCAAAGGCTAGATGAGCAGCTGTCAATGACTAAAGCAATAATCATTTTTTAAGAGCAATTAGCTATCTACAAAACTACCAACAGTATGACAAAAGTCCAACCACATGTGTATACTGAACAGTTCCTATCTAACTTCTAGAACTATTTTTCTGGAATTCACCCATTTACTTTATATATACATATATATATAAGTACCCTGGTGTAGTCAGGGCAGGCTGTATATATATATATATATATATATATATATATATATATACAGCCTGCCCTGACTACACCAGGGTATCTGATCATTCCTCAATATCCAAAAAACACAAAATGTTAGAGAAAGCACAAGAAGATGTAAGAAATGATGATACGTGTGCTTTCAATTTCAGAACTGAATTTGATGTTATAAGTGAGATCAAATTTACTCTTCAGAAACCTGCCAAACCTACCCTCTTTGGCATCCAACTTATGAGTTTTAGGTATTAATTTCCATCTTACTGCCTTGTAATAATAAATTATACTTGTACATCTCTGCTAAAGTCACCAGCATAATATGACCATAGGTGGGAAAACATTGGTGGGCACCAGAAGGGCCCTGCTATTGTCTTCTGGCCCCAGTGGCCCCAAATTCATAATCAAGGCACTTCATGGTAGGGTACATGTTGCAATGCTCTTGCATATATTACTTAAAAACATTTGACTTATCTTTTTCCATCTTGTACTTCCAATCTATCTCACATCTCATATTGTATTAGATTGTAGAAATAAAGAAAGCACAGCGGAGATGGCTGTAGTAGTCCTGCTAATAGGGCGAGCATTTGTTTAGGAAAGGCTCCCAGTTTCATTCCCAAAGGGCAACATGACCACTTATTCACAAATAAATAGAAAAACCCAAATAACATAGTGTTTCTTATCCGTGGTGAATTTAATCTGCTATTGCTATGATAGGTTTATTTTCTACACTCTGAGTAGCTGATGAATGTGAGAAATATAGGGTCCCACCCAATTTGTTTGTATAATAAAATAAGCACATAAAATTTATCAGTAGAGTATCACTATTCACTGGGATCATAATCCTTAGAAAACGTCTCAGTACTGGATAACTATGACACTGGAAATTCAACTTATGAAGGGAAAGAAAACAGTACCTCCGTAGGTACTTGGCAAAGATGCCTAAAATGAATGGGATTTGCATAATGGCATATTATTTCAAAATCATGAGTAATACAATCAGTAGTGCCCTTGACAGGAGGAGCCATTAAATTATATATTGATTTTGCTTCTCTTGCACAGTAAAGCTATTAATAGGAAACTTGATTATTAAAGGACAATTCAGTCAATTTAAAGAGGCAAGATAAAGTCAATCATTATGAATTAGCCCTCTGAATCAAGAGGCAAAAATCAGGAGGGACTGGTAATGTTCACTTTTTTGCTTCAGAACAGAACTATTCCTCCCCTTAGCAAAGGTGGAGAAAGCGAAATTAACCTATATAAATTATAAAGGATCATATCCTTGCGATGTCTTTTGCTCACTTTCCAGAGCCTAACTAATACAGGAAAGGGATTGTCATTGCTTCTTCCATCACTGGGGATGTTACAGGAGATGGCGTTTATCTGGTGAAGAACCCAGTTCCACTAGCTTGATAATCAGCAGAAGTATACCTCTCTGTCCCTCACAGTTCTGCAGTGGAAATTATGTCTCAAGGACTGAAGGGATCTTAAAGGTCCTCCAGTTTGCCCGCCATTGCCACACCGATTCCCACATTCACAGGGCTTTTGCACTGTCCCAAAGACTCCCTCTCTCTGAGAACACAGATTCTTGTTGCGTTGTACATTGGTTCCATTTACCAATGGGAAGCAGTCAGATAGCTGTTGTTCTTTTTTTTTAATTGAAATATAGTTAATTTACAATGTTGTGTTAGTTTCAAGTGCACAGCAAAGTGATTCAGTTATACATATATACATATATATATTCTTTTTCAGATCCTTATATATATGTGTGTGTGTATATACATACATATATATATATATATATATATATATATATATATATATATACGTGTTCTTTTTCAGATTCTTTTCCATTATAGGTTATTACAAGATACTGAGTATAGTTCCCTGTGCAATACAGTAGTGTTGTTATTTCTTTAAATCAACACGTTAACCAAAACAAGATTGGAATAGTCAGGCAGACCCAGCCCTTCATCTAACAACAACCCCTGCACTATTATTACACTGATAAGGAACAGATAGAAAACTGTGTCATGCAATTTTCAGCTACCGTAATTATGATGAAGAAGGTAAGGAGAATTTCTCACTTGATCTTTTTTACATCACTTTGAAGTTGAAGAGTATACTATAACAATTATGGTTTCTAGAAACTAGCAACGAGTTACAAATCTCATGATAACATTAAAACATTAAATAATTTATCAGGATGGCCAAAATTTTTATGGATATACATTTTGGATCCACTTCTAGGGAAAAAAAAAAGCATTTGGTTAAGAAAGATCAGTTTATTTAGTGGAAAAATACAGATTGTTCCTTTTGATTTTTGCAGTGCCTTTCCTTGGATGATACTAAGCCCACATCTACACTTTATTTCCAAGTCTCTCTCTTATCTGATGGGTCTCAAAGGACCAAACATCTTCAAACATTCTAGTAAGGAG